CCTGTCAGAGCCTCTGCGGAGGAGAGAGACTCACTGTAACTGTATATAAGCGGGCACTGGGTCAGCATAAAGTTCTCACAACAATAGCTGAAAAACTACTCGTTGTTCGCTTTATACGTTAGGTGTGGAAACTTTTAAAATCGTGTTTTAATTTTTATTTATAACGTTCGTTGAAGGAAGGACTTTGGACGTTTTTGCACGTGAACCCCTGTGGAAAGTGGGCCTGGATTACCGACACGGCACGGGACACGGAATAGGACACTTTTTAAACATACATGAGGGTACCATTTGTTTTTGGCCTTAGAATGAACTCATCGAATACTTAGTACTTCATGTAACATCAGTCTTTTTCTTGAGTATGTCATATCTCTTTTTAAGAAATAACGCATTTAAGTTCTCGCCGTCCAAGTTAATGTATCTGGTATTTATGGTCTGATCTTTAACACATCAAAAACGATTCAAAGTAGTGTTGAAACCCATTTTAGCTTTCGCAACTCTCACAGAAGCCAACCATTACTTTTCTCTAGCCGCTAGAGTTTTGTCTCAGTGTGAGCCGTGTCATTCCATTCGACTGTTAATTTGTTTGTAGGACCACAGTGTATAGCGCCAGGATTTCCTATCGAAGACGAGAAAGTTCTGATGCCTGGTATGATTCTATCAGACGGTAAGTCACAGTAAATAATATATTGTCGTGGCTAGTAAAAGAAAATGTTCCTCACGTTAGGTTGATGTTCTGTTGGCCCCATAGATTAGGTGGGGTCTGTCTCCTACACAGGCTTGTAAAAGTTATAAAGGGAACTTAGTATAATAACAGGTGGTACATTCATTTACTTCTTCATGTAGCACACATTTGGCAAAATGTAGACTTAACTGAAAGTTTTTTCTAGTCTCATTTTCCCCACATGCTTGGGTCAGATCCGGACAGAGGGTAAAACATTTGGCTCTACATCAGTGCTAAATATTTCCCTTTCCGGTCCTCCGACTCAGTCAATAAGCTCGTACGAAGACCTGAAACATCGCCTTGACGAAGCAGTTGAAACCACACAAACCAGATGGTAGATCTGTTTCTTAGTAAACATTGTGACTGCGTTCAACTAATTTATTTTTTAGAGCCTGGATATTATGAAGATCGTAAATTTGGAATTCGACTTGAAACAGCTGTCCTTGTAAAATCTGCCAACACAACGGTCAGTACCAAATTTTATTACATCTCTCAGTTACTACGCGCGCTGTGATTGGTTAACTTAGCGGGCCGTACTCTACTGTACAGCCCGCTAAAATTTAAAGCTGTCTTTGTTGCCAAAATGTTTCGTGATTTATCACCAGGTGTTGTTAACTTTTATAGCAAGTAAAAGTCTAAAACTTTTTTTACTTTAAATTGTGTATTAAAACGTGCTAACGACTTAACAACGATTTCAAATTGACTCGTTTTGCTTTCGACTTGCTTCAGAAATTTGAAGCCGTTCAGCGTGAATAGAAATCGTTCCCGAACCCGTCAGAAACACAGGAGAGATATAATAAATATCTTACTAACCTCGTCTTCTCGGTTCGTCCTGTAAGTTACGAATCCTCCTTTTTTCCCCGTCGATTTATAGATTATTTATGGCCCGCGCGCTTCGCGCTAGGGCCATAAATCGAAGGAGAAAAAACTGGATCTGTAACTTACAGTACGGACCTCGAACTCGGTTAGTAAGAGGTATGTCTGCCTATCTCCTTCCAACTTCTAAGTTAAGGAAACAGTTCTTTCAGCCTCGGTTATGACGACTGTGTCCATCCTTTCCATTCTTTATTTCACTTCTCATCTTTTGTTAGTCTGTAATTAGTCTGCCTTCTTTTTTCGGTTTTCCTTTCATCCAAACCATAAGTTTTCTGCATTGTTTTGTCGTGATTTGTTTGAGTGTTTATTTGAAAAGCCCTATCAGGGAAGTGACCCATAAAGTTATCTATTTTTTGTCGTTTCAGTTACTGATTTCTATTTTATTCAACTTTTTTATTTATTGCACAGTATCATTTCGATGGACTGGATTACCTTAAGTTTGAGCCAGTTACATTTGTAAGTATTCGCCGTACAGACTGAGTCACTCGTGATTATGGGGAGACATCGAGTTATTAAACCTTAAATAGGAATTTAAAATATTTAATGGAGAAACGTTTTCAAGTCAAATTACTTGGAAAATAAAACTTCTGAGCCCTCAGCGAGTGGAAGCCATGGTCTTCGAGATATCGCTTGAATGGTAATGGCTCCACTCCCGTTGGGGATCAAAATTTTTGATCTCCGAGTATAATCGACCTAGAATGCTTCTCGTTTATTTCCTTTAATCTAAGTCCCCATTCAACTTACAATTTGTGCTTTTTCTTTAATGAGAGACGAGATTTTTTCACACATTCTTGCTTAGGGGGGGGGGNAAAGTTAGGAGAGGACTAAAATAGTACAGAACTTAATGCCCACCGCCAAACAGATTACTCCATCACACAAGGAGAATTCATCCGTAAATTACTTAACTCAAGATGCTCCAATTCTCTTGGGAGTAACAGAAATGATCTCCAACGAACATGGCTGTATACGTTTGCACATTCGATGTACTTCATATAGAGTAGTTCACGCTCTAAGGGGCATTATGGGTAAGAAACAAAGCGGCAAAATATACGTTTTTCTTAAAAATTGGTAAAAAGGAATTAAATGGTTGTCACTGGCTAAAAATATGGTTATCGGACGTTTCGGCCACTACTGTTGCCTTCTTCAGCAAAAGATGGAAAATGCAAATGTTAAACGGAGTCCTGCTAGAATATGTAAAAGATGTGTGATAAAACTAAATGAGCAATAGTCTCTAGAGTATTCTTAATGAGTGTAAAAATTCTTAATGCCATTGTACA